CCCGCTTATGCTAATGAAGCCCGGGAAATTCAAATCCCGGGCTTCATTAGCAAGTGCGGTATGCATACATTACCCTCCTAGTTCGAACTAGGAGGGTAGTGTAGACATACCCTATCTGTCTGAAGCCATCTGAGCTCCCACGTATGGAAACAGTTTTGTATCGCCAGCCATTGGCTATGCTGCCCTGTTCTCATTGCTCATTCGATGCTGCTACTTGATCAAAGCTGGCGCATGTTACTCAGCTGGGAGTGACACCTCTCAGCTGCACAGTGGACAAAACCTTCTATTGACTTGTTTTCTGTGCTTGACATTGCCTGAAATGACATGGTGCGGATACTTCACACCCCTGAGTGTTGAAGTCTCCATGCGTATCTGATACTTTTCTGTTTCTAGACACGTATCATGGAAGGAAGAAACCAAACACCCATTGTGGAACTGATCCTTGTCGGGTTTGGGAATGACCCAGAACTGCAGCCCCTCCTCTTCCTGCTGTTTCTAGTGATCTACATTGCGGCTGTGGCTGGGAACCTCCTCATCATTGTGCTGGTGGTGGCTGATCGGCACCTTCACACCCCCATGTACTACTTCGTGGCCAACTTGTCCGCTGTGGAGATCTGCTACGTCTCCACCACCCTGCCCAGGCTGATTGGCAGCCTCGCGACTGGGGACAGAACCATTTCTCTTCACAACTGCTTTGTGCAATTCGATTTCTACGGAATCCTCTCCACTGCAGAAACTTTGCTGCTCTCGACCATGTGCTGTGATCGGTATCTAGCGATCTGCCATCCCCTCCGCTACCCTGCTCTGATGAACGGCAGAGTGTGTGGACACATGGTGGCAGGGTGCTGGATATTCAGCATTTCCTACACAGTCATGCTACAAACTTTCATTCTCCAATTCACATACTGCGGCCCCAAGGAATTTGATCATTTCTTTTGTGATTTTGCGTCCGATGGTAGGTTCTGTGGCACAACACGGACTCTGATACTACTGATATTTATTATGTCTGTTATCATAACTTTTGGGATCTTTCTGTTTACTCTTGTGACCTACATTTGTATTATCATCACCATCCTGAGAATCCCTTCCAGCACCGGAAAGCAAAAGGCCTTTTCCACCTGCTCCTCTCACCTCATTGTGGTTGCAGTTTACTATGTGAGTGGATTTACAATCTACGCGCTTTCACAGTTCCAGCTCCCCACGATCCTGTACAAAATATTTTCTGTCATGAGCACAGTCCTGATACCTTTGATCAACCCTCTTATCTACTGCCTGAGAAACAAGGAGGTCCATCAGGCCCTAAGAAAAGCTGGTATGAACCTGGTTGATTTCAGACACAGGCAGGGAGTGTAAAAGGACAAACGTTGGCAAGCAGTAAAATAGAGAAGAACTCTTACATCAGGCCTATTGGACCCATTGAAAGGAGAGTTACCCCAAAGAGACTTTACTTCCTGTTGTCTCCTTTTTGATTTCTTGGGGCCTTCTAGAGCTTAGTGCATGAGTTTCTGCTGCTTGAGCTAACAGCCATCTGGCTCTCAACTAATGCTGTGAAAGAAGCTCATTCTTTCTCTCTATAAGGGTATGTCTACACTACCACCCTAGTTCAAACTAGGGTGGCAATGTAGTCATTCAAACTTGCAAATGAAGCCCGGGATTTAAATATCCCGGGATTCGTTTGCACGTTCCCGGGCACTGCCATTTTTAAATGCCCGGTAGCTCGAACTATCTGCAGGAGGAGTAACGGTAGTTCGAATTAAGAGTGTTAATTCGAACTACCTAGCCCATGCCGTGTGTAGTCGTGGGCAGGTAGTTCAAGCTACCGGGCATTTTAAAATGGCGGCGCACGGGAACATGTAAATGAAGCCTGGAATACTTAAATCTTGGGCTTCATTTGCAAGTTCGAATGACTACATTAGCCACCCTAGTTCGAACTAGGGTGGCTAGTGTAGCCATACCTAAGTGTCTTCCAAGTAGCATTCCCTGCCTATCCATGCACTTGTCAGAGGCCAGGCACCCCTGTCTCCTCCAATACTGACAGCCCCATGGATATTGGTACAGAGATATAACATGCAAACAGAAGGCGTTTGGCAGCAACCTTCATGCTCATAAAGTCTGACTTTTCTCCCTGTCAAAATAAAAAGAGTTAATAATAACCATAGATTCACAGAATCCCACAGCTGGAGTCCAGTCCCCTGCCCAAAGCAGGAACTGACCCCAATCCTCCCAGCCAGGGCTTTGTCAAGCCGGGACTTAAACACCTCTAGGGATGGAGACTCCACCCCCTCCCTGGTGAACCCAGCCCAGCGCTTCCCCACCCACCTAGGGAAACACTATATCTAATATCCAACCTGGAGCTCTCCCACTGCAACTTGAGACCATTGCTCCTTGTTCTGCAGCCGTCACTACTGTGAACAGTCTCTCGCCAGCCTCTTCAGGAAGTTGAAGGCTGCTATCAAATCTCCCCTCACTCCTCTTTTCTGCAGACTAAATAAACCCAACTCCCTCTGCCTCCCCTCATAGGTCATATGCTCCAGGCCCCTCATAATTTTGGTTGCTTTCTGCTGGACCCTCTCCAATGTGCCCACATCCTTTCTGTACTTGGGGGCCCAGAAGTGGACACAATACTCCAGATGTGGCCTCACTAGAGATAAATGAAGGGGAATAATCACATCTCTGGATCTGCAGGCAATGCTCATCCTAATGCAACCTAATATGCCATTAGCCTTCTTCGCTACAAGGGCACCCTGTTGATTTATAACCAGCTTCTCATCCACTGTAATCCACAGGTCCTTTTCTGCAGAACTGCTACTTATCCAACCAGTCCCCAGCCTGTACCAATGCTTGGGATTCTTAGGTCCCAAATGCAGAACACTGCACTTGTCCTTGTTGACCCTCATCAGATTGCTTCTGGTCCAAATCTCCAATTTCTCTAAGTCACTCTGGACTCTATCCTTGCCCTCCAATGTACCTACGTTTTCCCCTAGCTCAGTGTCATCTGCAAACATGCTGAGGGTGCAATCCATCCCTTCATCCACGTCATTAATAAAGATATTGAACAAAACCGAACCTATAACTCAACCTTCGGGCACTCCGCTAGAAACCGACCGCCATCCTGATATCAAAGCATGGAGCACTACCCACTGGGCCCAAACTTTTAGCCAGCTTTCTATCCATCTTACACTCAATTTATCCAATCTATACTTCTTTAACTTGCTGGCAAGAATATTGTGGGAGACTGTAAGAAAAGCCTTGCTAAAGTCAAGGTATATCACATCCACTGGCTTTCCCATGTCCACAGAGCTATGTACCTCATCATAAAAGCTAATCAGGTTGCTCAGGCACAACTTGCCCTTCGTGAATCCATGTTGACTATTTCTGATCACTTTCCACTATTCCAAGTGCCTCAAAATGGATTCTTTAAAGATCTTTTCCATGATTTTTCCAGGTACTGAGGTAAGAGTGACCTGACTATAGTTTCCTGGATCATTCTTCTTCCCTTTGATATCAGTTGAAGGCTACAATGTAGATCACTAGAAACAGCAGGAAGAGGAGGGGCTGTAGTTCAGGGCCGTTCCCAAACCCTACAAGGATCAATTCCATGATGGTCATTTGGTTTCTTCCTTCCACTATACATGTCTAGAACAGAAAAGCATCAGATACGCATGGAGCCAAGGGGCCAGTGTAGACGAGCCCTACGTGTCTAGAACAGAAAAACATCAGAGATACATGGAGCCCATGCTGACAGGTTATGCTGCTGGCTACCTGGCCAGACAGATGAGGTCAGTAACCTCACACATGCACACAAACTTTGTGTGTCGGACTCGCAAGCACACTCTCCCCCAAAACCACACACACATGCTATCCTACCTCTCTCTCTCTCTCTCTCTCTCTCACACACACACACATGCTATCCTACCTCTCTCTCTCTCTCTCTCTCTCTCTCTCTCTCTCTCTCTCACACACACACACACACTCACACACACAGAGTCTCTTTAACACTCACCTCCCTACACATACTTGTGGTGTCCTTGTGCCTTCCAAGGTTTGCTTACCATAGTTTCTTAACTGGTCAATGCCATTTGACATTGTGTTTCTCTCTCGTCCTTCCATTTAATTCTTTGCATAATGAGCTCCAAAACACCTGACATGTCCTGGATGGAGGAATTATCCCTATGGCAAAGTTTTACAATCTATATGACATCTTGGTATGGGGTTTCCTACAGTTTGCACGTGCCTTTGTTATTATGGCACGGAATGAAATTTAGTCTGCACATGGCTTTGAAAAATCCAGGAACATCAGCAAGAGGGACCGGTCTGAGTATTGTAGGATAGGAAAGGTGGAGGGAGATTTCTGTCTCATGGAACATGCCTAGACTCTTTGTCCTGGGCATTCTGGGACTGGGGCGGGGAGACACAGATCCCAGGACAGATCAGATGTGGAGAAAGTCCTGCCCTCACTGACTGAGCATCTTTCCCTGAGCTACAAAGGACTCATGATTATGAGATGCAAGATTTTGTGCGGTACAGAATAGTTTGTCCTCTAAACCTCATTAAACCTTCTGACCTCTAAAACCATTATCACCTACTAGCAGTATAATAACGTAGAGAGGAGGGGGCTGGCTGCAGATGGGAAGCTGACTGCTGGGGAAGGACAGGTCATATAACAGCCCAACAAACAGCAGGTTCCCTTTCGTTATATTGCTGCTTGAACAGTGTGACATGGAGGGTGATGAATTGTAAAGGAAATCACTGCACCCAGTTGGTTCATTGTAAAATGTAGTCAAGAGATCACATGACCATTGTCAGTCACATGCTGTAACCCAGTACTCAGTGAATAGGTACCTGGTCTGTTCATCCCCTCAGGAACATCTGATGTTGGCCAATGTTGGAAGACAGGGCACTGGGAAAAGCCTGTTGAGAGCCTATGGGTTAAGTTTAGAGGTGGAAGCAACAGGGGGGATGTTGTGGTTGGTGTCTTCTACAGACCACTGGATCAGGTGGATGAGGTAGACAAGGGTTTCTTCAGACAACTAAGAGAAGCTTCCAGATCGCAGGCCCTGGTTCTCGTGGGGGACTTTAACCACCCTGACATCTGTTGGGAGACCAATACAGCAGTACACAGACAATCCAGGAAGTTTTTGGAGAACGTTGGGAATAAAGTGCTAAAGGAAATGACCAGGGGCCATGCCCAACTAGACCCGTTGCTCACAGACGGGGAAGAACTAATAGGGGCTGTAGAGGTGGGTGACAACCTGGGAAGCAGTGATCACGAGAAGGTAGATTTCAGGAGCCTGACCAAAGGAAGAAAGGAGAAGAGCAAAATACACATCCTGCACTTCAGAAAAGCAGACTTTGACTCTCTCAGAGATCTGATGGGCAGGATTCCCTGGGATGCTAACATGAAAGGGAAAGGAGTCAAGGAGAGCTGGCAGTATTTCAAAGAAGCCTTATTTAAGGTACAGGAAAACATCATCCTGATGCACAGTAAGAAAAGCAAATATGGTAGGCGACCAGATTGGTTTACCAGGAAAATCCTTGGTGAGCTTAAACAAAAAAAGGAAGCTTATAAGAAGTGGAAACTTGGACAGATGACTAGGGAGGAGTATAAATATACTGCTCAAGAATACAGGGGAGTTATCAGGAAGGTGAAAGAGCAATTGGACTTACAGCTAGTACAGGATGTGAAGAGTAACAAGAAAAGCATGTTAGCAATAAGAGAGTGAAGGGCACTTCCTGAATGAGGGAGGTAACTTAGTGACAGATGAGGTGGGAAAAACTGACATACTGAATGCTTTCTTTGCCTCTGTCTTCACGGACAAGGTCAGGTCCCAGATTAATGCGCTAGGCAATGCATTATGGGAAGGAGATGGGCAGCTCTAGGTAGGGAAAAAACAAGTTAGGAACTATTTAGAAAAGCTAAACACACATGGGTCCAGATTTAATGTGTCTAAGGGTACTGAGGGAGTTGGCCAATGTAATTGCGGAGCTTTTGGCCATGATCTTTGAAAGAGCAGAAGAGATCCCCAATGGTTGGAAAAAGGCAAATGTAGTGCCCATCTTTAAAAAAGGGAAGAAGGACAATCCAGGGAACTATAGACCGGTCAGCCTTACCTAAATTCCTGGAAAAATCATGAAGGGGATTCTCAAGGAATCCATTATGAATAACTTGGAAGAGGGAAAAGTGATCAGGAATACTCAACATGGATTCACGAAGGGCAAATTCTGTCTGACCAATCAATGGCTCAATGTTAGGATGGTGGTCGGTTTCTAGTGGAGTGCCCCAAGGATCTGTTCTAGGTGTTTTGTTCAACATCTTTATTAATGCCCTGGATGAGGGGATGGATTGCATCCTC